AATCCATAGGCCCAAAAGTCCAACTATGGCTCAAAGCCCAACATATGGCCCAATTTTCCAAATTGGGCCCAAACCTTACTATGGTATTATCCTGAGGCCCAACCAATTAGTCCAGTCCAACATGTGGTATTCTAATGGCCCAATATCACATAATCATAAAGGCCCATCTATGGCCCAATTTTCCAAATTGGGCTCAAACCCCTTACATGGGCCTTACCCTAGGCCCATTAAATTATTTTAGTCCAATTGCTTGACTTTGGATGGTCCATTAGTAACCCAATCATCAAGGCCCAATAAAGAGGCCCAACAATAAACCCAAGTGAAATTAGGGTTTCACATAAAATGATGATTAGGGTTAAGTTTCCTACTTAACCCATTAAGGAATTAATCCACTAAGGACTTAATCCACTAAGTCCATCACTCTTCTAAATAAATCATATGGTGTGATTGGGCTTAATACACACTTCCATTCCAATGGCCCAAATGTGGGTCCCGATAAGTCCAAGCCCATAAATCTAATATTAGGGTTTTCTAAACCCTAATTAGGGTTTCCAATCCCATCTTAGCCCAATAGGCCCAAAACCAAGTCCTTAAGCCCATTAGAGTTTTCCTTAGGTCAATTTGGGCTTATTACACCCATTAGTCACATGTTTGGGCTTTTGGGTCCATTAGTGCTTCATTGGGCCCATTAGGGTTTAATAGGCCGATTAGGGTTTTAGTCCTTTGTCCAAACATCCAAAAGCAATTCCAACACAACTAAGCACACCGCCACCCGACACGGCGGCCGGTGGCGGCAGGAGGCGGCAACCACCACCTCACGGTGGTGGTTAGGGTTCTTTCTCATTATTCCATCTTGTTACAATTACAATGTCAATCTAATTAACGCACGCACACCCTAATCTAATTACAAATACACACACACACACACACGGTGGTGGCAGTGGCGGTCTTCCACGATTTTCCGGCTTCACACCCATAAAACACGACTCTTGCTCGGAATGGGAAACCAACCACGTATTTGGTGGCGTATGGCAGCGACAATGGTGATTTCACGTCGGCAGCCACCGCCTCGTGGTGGTGGCGGTGGTTACTAGTGGTTCCCAGTCGAACAGCCACCCCCACACACGAGCATTGGAGCTGAAACACACCCATACGAACTCAGGGCCACTCCCATGGTAGCTGGTGGTGACGAGACAAGGCAGCGATGACGGAAATGGAAAGAAACGACAGCAGGAGGTGGTTTTGCGATGACAGCCACCACCTCACGGTGGTGGCGAAGGCTCCTCTTGGTCTTTTCCCATCATCCAGTCAACACATGCACTGATGGAGCACACACAAATCTCCGGCAACATCACCTTCAATGGAAACAGGGGGCAGTTGAGAGAAAACGCGACTGAGGTGGCGAAGGGATGATGGCGGTGATTGCTCACAGTTGCTCCGGCCTTGGAGACTTCCGTTGCAGCGCTGGTCGTCGTCAGTCATCTCGGTCCTTCGGTGGCCTGGGTCGTTCAGAGAAGCTAGGTAGAATGGGGTGGCGACCGGCAGTTGGGAGGCACAAGGGGGGAAGGGGTGACGACTACTGCATAAGGGAGGGTTTAGGTTTGGGGTTTGACTGATAATGTGATTATATACCCGACTCCTCTTAAAAGTTTGTCATAGTGGCAACATCAGTCCCTCCATGCCCCTTTTCTTTCAAATGTCATCCCATATTTACCCTTTCAACCCAATCCATGGAAATCCCTTACAAATTAAGTCTCATAAATTACCAAACAGCCCCCAATATCTTAATTATGACATAATCAACCCTTCCACCTCATTTCCTTTTAAATTAAATCCAAGTAATTACCACAGAGCCCCTGTCTTCATAAATATTATAAACTGAGACCGAAAATTACACTTTTAACCTTCAACTTTCGAGTTATGCCAATCAACTCCTCGAAACCCAAACCCTGCGTATAATTATTGAATTTAGGGCTACTATACATTCATTAATTAATTTATTTATTTAATAAATACACAGGGTGTTACACATGTGATTCAAATGTAAATCACATATGAATTACATGTGATTCAAAAGTGAATCACATATGAATTATATGTGATTCACATGTAAATCATATGTAATTCGCATATTAATCACATGTAATTCACATGTAAATCACAAGTGAATCACATATCAATTACATGTGATTGACATGTAAATCACAAGTGAATAACATATGAATTATATGTGATTCGCATTTAATCACAAGTGAATCGCATATGAATTACGTATATGTACGCACATGCATTTTGTGTGAGTGTTCTTCGTTAATTACTTTTTAAAATTTTCTTGTGAATTTCACATTTGAATCTTAAAAGATACAATCACATGTGAATATCACATTATATAATCACATGTGAATCTTACATGATATAATCTCATGTGAATCTTATATGATATATATATATATATATATATATATATATATATATATATATATATATATATATATATATATATATATATATATATGAGTGTGTGTGTGTGTGTGTATATTTGTGAGTGTTCTTGCACTAATCATTTTTTTTTAATTTTCTTGTAGATTTTGAAGAATTTGTGGAAAATATTAAAGAGGTGAAAAATGATAAATTGAAGAAAATATGAAAATCTTGATATGAGGAAATGATAACATTGTGAATCTTTGTAGTTTTTTTATATATTTTATTTTGTATCGAATAAAATACTTGTAGTATTATGTTTATAAATTAATTAATAAAAATGAGGTTTTTTATTATTTACTTACGAGTATTAAAGTATAAGAAATATTCATATTTGCATTTGAAAAAATATGCATATATGTATCTAAAACGTTGATTTTTTTTAAAAAAAATTAGAGTTTATTTTTTTAAAATATTCTAGTTTTTTCTTTAATTTAGTGATTTTTAAAAATTTACTTTTTAAAAAAAATGCAGTTTTTTTGAAAAAATTGCAGTTTTTTTGAAAAAATTGCACTTTTTTTTGCATTTTTTTAAAAAAAAAATATATTTTTTTTCAATTGTTTTTTTAAAAATTCATGTTTTCTGAAATAAAAAATCTCCATTTTTTTACAAAAATCAAAAATTACTTTTTTTAAAAAAAAATCCGAAATTTGGTTTATTATGTTAATTTTCAATATTTTTTATTAATCTTTCCAATAACAAAAAAGATTAAACATTAAGTACGATTGGTAAGATGACGATCATACCCTTAATGAATTAATTTTGATATAATGCTCCACATTTAATTTTCAGATTCTTGGGAAACTATGAGTTGTCAACGAATTTCACACACACACATATATATATATATATATATATATATATATATATATCTATATATATATATATATATATATTATATATATATATATATATATATATATATACTCGTATTACTATTTATATTGACAATAGCATTTATTCCTATTATTATTCTATAATTTAAAATTAATTTAATGTTTTTCTTTATTTCCTCAAAAATGGTTATTGTGTGTATTTTTTTTTAGTATTTTCGATATTTAATTTAATTAGAAGTAGTAAATTTTTTTTAAGTTTCAATTCATATTAGATAATGAGTATTTTTAAATATGTTAATTATACGAGTTAATAATTAATTAGTACACAATAAATTTAATTGTGTGATGTGTTTTTATATTGATGCGTTTGTATTTTAAACCACATTATTAAACCAACAAAAATTATTTTCATATCAATAAAAAAAAGGAACCACACTATTTAAATATTTAAGAATGTAGTTGGTGCGGTTTCAACGCAACCACATCATTTAACATATTTGTTGGTGTGGTTAATTTGTTAATGTGGTTTTATCAAAACCACACCTTTTAACACCTGCTTTTTTGATGCGAAGTTTTATATGTTGCACCATTAAACCACGATTTGTTGATGCTATTCTTTCTTAAACTGCATCTTTAATACTCATTTTAATATTTTATCTGTTTAGGGTTTTTAACATATATATTTTTAAAATCATTGTTCTTTTTCATCGAGATCATATGCGCATTAAATTCGTCGAAATCCAAATTTTGACATTAAACTATTCTCTCCATTAAAGCTAACTTTATTGTTATTAATTTTTATTTTATTTAACATATTTATGTATTAACAGATTGTTTCCTTTTATTAACATCTTAAAATGTGTACATATGAGATAGAATATTCATAAAAAGGATTGGACTCTTGTCTTTAGCATATATTTTTTTCATTTTAAGCTTCTACATTTTAAAATATCTGTGTGATCGGCCAACGTTAAAATGAAAAGTTTCCAAAAAATAATGATAATATAATCTACGCGGAAAGATCATAAAAACAACTATGTTTTGAAGTTTTTATTTGAAAAACCACTGCTTCATTTTTTTTCAGAAAAATTACTCATACTTTTAAAAATAATTGATTTTCCTTTCTTTTTTTTCCTTTTTTTTTTCTTTGGTAAGGTTTTGGTTTTTCATATTAAAATATAACAGTGATTTTTCAAATAAAAGCTTGAAAACTTAATGGTTTTTGTGATGTTTTCAGTGAATCTAAAATAAAGTTATAACTTAAAAATGTATTTAAATGTTATGTATTATCAAATATGTAAATTGAATATAAAAACTTGAAGTTTAAAGGGTTCGAAGTGTAAAATACATGAATCTCGTGGTGGCTTTGTGGGGTCACCACCCGATTTTTGTAAACTAAACCAAAAAGAAACTAGATTTGCAAATGGTTTTGAAAATTGCTTTTTTTTGGCAAAAAATCATCATGTAGGCCTATAAATACTAATACCTCTTACTCTATAAACTTATAATACCAGTACACATCAATCAAAAACATGGAAGTCATCACTTTCTTGTGTTCTCCTACGTCTCTTCATCATCGTGTCTACATGCTCAATCTCTTCCATCCCTACAGTCGTCTCTGACGATGTTGTAGACATTAGCGGAGAGCTCGTGAGAAATGGTGGGAAATACTACATCATCCCGATGGAAGGTAGTGACTACCCCGTCCCAACCATGCGTGGAAGAATCAAGTTAACCGACAGTATTGATGGTGAGAAAATTTGTCCACTTGACGTGGTGCTGGATCCATCGGATGATAAACTAGGAGACGGGTTCTACTTTTCTCAGCTTACTCGACAGTTATATCTCCAGTCATCACGCATCAGTATTGATTCGGGGCCTCCTGTGGGTGAATGTGAGGCGTCGACATCTTGGACCATTCCGGATGCTGAAGCAGAGGCTCCTTCAAACTTGATTACAACTGGTGGTGGTTTTGTTGGACTTTTTCAGGTTGTGAGGTATAGGCCAATAGGTCAAGACAGGGTGTTTAGGCCTCCTACCTACATGCTTCAGTATTGCCCTGAAACTTGCTTTAACATAAGCCTTTACTCATATAACGGTGTCACACGTCTTGCTTCCGGTGGTGCTCCATTTGAGTTTGGGTTTGTTAAGGTCCAAGCATCTAATGAGATATAGCATGTGATCATATCTATAATCTCGAACCCAAAAAATATATATAAGGAATAAGTAGGAGTCCATATATGGATTTTATTCCAATAAGACCCGTTTCCAATAAAACATGCTATGGTTGTACATATATATATGTGATCATGTTCTCTATCTAATATTACTTATAAAAAAATGTGAGTTAACGTATTCAATTCGTCATGGAACACTAAAACTTTTTTTCTTTTTTTTGTTTAAGAAAAAACACAAGCTTAAGTAATTAAAAGAAATAGCTAGGTAGACGTCCCAAGGGAACAACATCCACACAACTACAATATTATTGGGTTATAAAACCCGATTATCATAGCTTCGCGCTTTGGGTATTTTTACATCAAAGATCCCTAAACACTTTTGTTGGTCATTTTAATGCTTCCATCGAAATTTCTTCTTTAAAACTTGGATCCATCAACGATATATTAATTTATATATATAGCTATAAATTTTTTAATACAACAAAAGAAATGGTGAGCTAGCGAACTTTATCTTAATGAGGATTGTAGTTCATTACGAATAAGTGAGATTTTGATGTTTATCTAAAACGAAGATCCAAGCCTTTATGATTAGTTTCGTGAAAAACTCTTAAAATCACCTTGCAAATACAAATAACTATAAAAGATACACCACATGGGCAAAGGTTGTACGTGTCAACCAACCGGAAGCCCTGTTCACGCCATTTTTCGTTTTACTTTTTATATTAAACTTTTTTGTATTAATATTTTTATGACTTTGTTGGCCGATGGCTTAGAACAGTTAACCTGGACTTACTGTATAATATCAACAGAACTCAGTCATTAATAAATCCTTTTACCCCGCCGCGACTGACAGCAACCACTGTGAACTGCCGCTCAATGGAAACGCCTGTGCGGACCCTGGATCTAGATGGCGTCCTCTCCGAGTCAAAGAGGATCTTCAGAGCCAACTACAGCCACTTCCTCGCCTTATCTTTCCTCTTCCTCCCTCTCTCTTTCTCTCTCATCATCAACCCTACCCTCAGCCTCTCCAGCAACTTCTTCACCTCCGATCACTTCCGTAAGTTTTCCCCAAACCATCAAAAACCTGTAGTTTCTAATCTCCTCTACATCCTAATCGTCTACGTTGTCACCCTCTGTGCCATAGCGACGATCACCTACAGTACATACCATAGTTTCTCCGGTAAGCCGATCAAGTTCTTCGCCGCCCTCAAGTCCCTAACCATCTCCTTCTTCCCGCTCGTTTCGACCGCATATGTAGCTCTCTCTCTTCTCTTCCTGATTTCGTTGACTTTCCTCCTGTTTGTTGGAGTATTCGTTATGTTGGGACAAAACCTCGGGTTTGTATTAATCGATTACAACTCGATTCACTTCACGTGGTTTTCAGCCGTCGTAGGTGCGACGTTAATAGTACTCGTACTTTATTTCCACATGAACTGGTCTTTGGCTTTTGTGGTCGTTGTGGCTGAATCGAAATGGGGATTTGCGCCTTTGATCAGGAGCTGGTATTTGGTGAAGGGTATGAGATCAGTTTCGTTGTGGCTTTTGTTGTATTTTGGGGTTTTTCTAGGGTGTACTGTGTGGGTGAACTCCAACGTTCTTCATGCGATGAGTAGCCAGACCTATGCATTATTGCCGATGATTCTTGGTTCGAGCATGTTGATGTGGTTTTTGCTATGGAGCACTGCTGCGAACACTGTGCTGTATATGTACTGCAAGACTTTCCATGGTGAATTGGCCATTAAGATGGCCGATGGGCTTGCTCACAACTACATCAACTTGCCTTTCGATGATGAGAAAGCCCCTCATGCACATGTTGTCACTGTGGTCGCAGCTTGATGGGGTTAGTGGATTCTTTTCCATGGATATTCACTATGCTCACATGGTTTTGTAACTTTTGTTCATGTGATATAATTCAGTTTCTTGATATATGTTTGTATGTATAATACAACTAGAACCTTGTGTAATTAATATAGAATCTTTTAAAGACATGGTGAATATCATTTGATAATCTTATGCACTTGAAATTTTGTCTTTTTAAAGCAAATGATCCGGTGTTTTGATGGATTATGATTTGGGTGTTACAAACTGTCGAACTCCTTGCTCCATGTACCTCTTCTTTATGGTTACTTTTTATCTAAAACTACTTGATGTAGATGTTCTTGTTAACTTTGAATATAAACGTTTTATATTACAAGTTCGACTTTGTACGGCGTTTAAAGGGTATAATAAATTAATAGATAAGAAACTTTATAACTAGATTATGACTAGTTCAAACACGTCTATGTTTCTATCACCAAATAGGATTTCAAAAAATTAAATATCTTGTACTTTTTCGACCTAATATCTTCCTAATCTATTTTAGGTGGTGATAAGTGTCATTTAATTTAATTTAAATTTGAATGAGATGTTAAATTTATACACTTGTCATAATCTTAAATAGATAGAAAAAAAAATTATAAACAAAAAGTAGAAGGATATTTAATTTCTCAAAATTATATTACGAACAAAAGTTGGTTCACGGACTCTTTTGTTATTTGATGTAATCAAACTAGGTTATTGATTTTTATAATTTATAAATAAATATTTTAATATGCCTGCCTTTTTTTTTCTAAGCATAATTGCGTATACATCCTTGCTAAACATCTAAATATTGTATTTGTCCGGTCTAAACTCTAAATATCGTATTTGTCCTAAATATTTTTTAATAACTTATATTCCTTAATATTTTTTAATATCGTATATATTCAAATCTATTTTTTTTGGTAATCTATTGATTTATAATCTTTTTTACTATTTTAAAATTATTAAACCAAATAGACAATATTGCCCTTAGCTCTAAATTGCAATACAACAAATCATTTGTTTGAAGTTAATTACGATTGCTTCTTACCTATATACCAGATACACTGACAAGGTTTAAGGTTTCATCACCACATTAATCATATAAGTGACAAAAAAAATGCAAAAACAGGAAATGCCTCTTAACAAAACCTAATCCTAGTAAAATCAACAATAAGTAAACAAAAACTAAAAAAAAACTAGCTTCAAATCGTAAAGATTCAGTGGAAAAGAACCGGAAAAGAACTCACCTTCCATTTAGATGAAGCGAAATAATTGCAGGAGGAGATGTATTACTTTCCATTGGCATCGTAATCCAAACAACCTCCCGCGTCTTCCCTGTTGCCGTCATCCCTACCTTAAACTATTCATTCCCAAATGTTATGATGGCATCTTGAATTCCGAACACTTGACAATTTCTTATTCAATTTCTCTCGTGATTTGGAAGTTTGCCTCTGTCTCATTTATTTCAAATAGAAACAGCCTTCATGTAAATAGCTCTAAATTGCAATACAACAGATCACTTTTTTTATCACTAAGGGTAATATTGTCCATTAGCTTGTTGTTATTTGTTTTAATGATTTTAAAATGGTACAAAAGATTATAAATCAATTAAAATTACCAAAAAAAAAAATAGATTTGGGTATATATGATATTAAAAAACATTAAAAATGGAAAAATACGATATTTAGAGTTTAGATCGGACAAATACGATATTTAGATGTTTAGCAGGGGTATTGTAACATCCCAGTTTCAAGGTCAAAAATTTCATTTTTTAAAATTAAGTAATTCATAAAATAGATTACCAAAAACATTACCAACGTCTAATCAATTTAATACACTGTAACAACGTGTTCCAAAACCATATCATCAATGGTAATAAAATCAGAGTACAATCCCAAGAATCTCATAGTGCGGAGTCCAGTGTGTGTGTGATGTGCTACTACCGCGCCGGCTCCTTCCCCTTCGCTGCGGAGGTACCTGAAACCAAAACTGTAAAATCGTAAGCACAAAGCTTAGTGAGTTCCCCCATCATACCTCATACCATACAATCACATAGCATACATACTGTCGGGCAGTTCTGGGGTGCCCGACCCACCCGGCCCGACCGTTCTGGGGTGCCGACCTACCCATGTCAAGCCATTCTGGGGTACTGACCTACCCATGTCGAGCCATTCTGGGGTACTGACCTACCCAAGTCAAGCGATTCTGGGGTGCTGGCCTACCCTTCGGTCCTAACAACCGAAATACGAGGACTGTTTCACCTCCTACTACTACCACATAATATCATGTCGTCTATCATATTGTCAGGCATATCTGGGGTGCCCGACCTACCCTTCGGTCCTAGCAACCGAACTGGGGGATGATCCCTCCCTCCTCCTACCACTATCACATATAACATATTATGCTAGCACATAGACATATCAGGTCATAGCAAACCCAGATGAATATCACAAAGACAATCATCTAACATACAACTCCTACTAGTGGGTCGGCATTGTGGTCGTAGACCCACCTCTACTGGAAGGTAACTCACCTCGGTATCGTGTAATGTCTGAACTGTCCTCTGCGTGAAGATCGACTCCCCTCGACTCCTCAATCCCTACACGACGCCCCTTCTAAGTCATCAAATGGAATATACAACCCTAACCAGGGTCAACTCAAGTCTAGTCAAAGTCAACATTGGTCAAAGTCAATACCCAGTTGACCTGACTCGCCGAGTTGGTCTACCAACTCGTCGAGTCCATACTTCACTAACCCGAACCAACCCCGACTCCACTTGTCGGATCTAGCAAGAACTCGACGGGTTCTCCTTCATTCAAGCTATTGGGACCATCTTCATCCGACTCACCGAGTTCATCCTTGAACTCGTCGAGTTCATCTCCCTCATAAGAGTATGTCTAGTCTATGACTCGCTGAGTTGTATGAACAACTCGGCGAGTCCATCTTCAAGGATTGGGAGATTGCCTTGGACTCGCCGAGTCTGTTCATACACTCACCGAGTCCTATGATTCCCAGGTCCCTTTACGCATCTAAACAACTAAGGGACTTCCTCCCTAACAACCGGTCCTTCCACAGAAAGGATTTGGTGGTCAATACACACCGACTCGTCGAGTCCCAAGAACGACTCGTCGAGCCCATCCATGACCATTACTATACAGTTAATTTAAAAGGGTCTTAACACACCAAAACCATAGATTTGGCCTCCTAGTATCCATTTTACACGTAAAGTTCCAAATTCGATGCACATGCATGGGGTCTTTGGCTCAAAAAGCCATAAAAGGTGGCCTTCAAAGTTCATGGGGTGTTCATGGCAACAAAATAGGCACCTTTGTGCCATAAAACCCCCAAATAGACCTGGATCTAAAACATGCACTGACTCCCAACACTAAATCCCGAATACAACCTCTCTAGGGCTTATAAAGATGAGGGAAAAGGCCCAAAAATCAAGATCTGTAGACAAAGTTTCAGCTTCATACCTCCAATAAGCTGTAAATGAGCTTCAAACTCTGGATCTTCTTGTTTCCCCTTGGTCTCACAAGTTCCTTCCCTCTTATCAAGCTTCACAACCCACCAAAAAGCACCAAAATGGCCTTAGAACACTCAAAAACGTCTAGGGTTTCGATATGATGTCCTCTGGGAGTATATGGGACGATGGAGGCTGAGATAAGGTGTTTAAATAGGGTGCAAACCCTCAATTTAGGGTTTCACTCAAACAGCGCCTACTTGCCGAGTCGGTCTCCCGACTCGTCGAGTAGGTCACTTAAACTCCCAAGGATCACGACTCTACTCGACGAGTTGGGCCACCAACTCGTCGAGTCCCGGAGAAAACGCATAAATTTCTTTAATTAAATGCGTACCAGGAATCGGGTGCTACAGGTATATACGAAATTATGCATTTTTTCTAAAACAACACTTAGGTGTGTATGGTACCAAACTTTTAAGAGTTTTTGGGTGCTTTTAGCATTTAAAAAAAATGAAAAAAAAACATTGTTTGCACGACTGTAAGAGCTTTTAACTTTCATTTTAAGCAAAAAACTCTATATCTAAAGTTACTTCAAATAGCTTTTTTTTAAAGATTTTAGCTTTTGGTTTTTATGTAATTTTGCACCTCTAAAAGCTAATAATTACTTTTGTCAAACACTTCTTCACAAATGCAAGTGTCAAGCAACCAACTTTTAATTATCAACAATCAATTAGTTTTGTCATAGATATCCTTAATATCATAGATGGATCAACCATATGAAGATGGTATACATGTTCATAGTATACTTTGGGAAAAAATGTAGTTTTTTGATATGCCACCATTTTGCTTCCTGAACCAACACATCATACTCAAACATATGGGAAAGGGAAATTTGTAGTGTCCCTACATGACTGGCCTAGCGGTAAGGATGTGAGAATGTATGAGTGGTCGTCGACTCAATCCTATATATCACCTAATATCACCTTCATTGCTCAATAGATATTGTGAGTTTAACATCCAGAAAATGGGCCTATAAGTTTTTGGCCATTTTTAGTGAAAATAAATGTTTGGGAAAACAAATAAATAAATAAGTGTTAAAATAATAAAATAATAAGAAAAAATAAGTACATTAGTTAATAAAATGTTTAGATCGTATACTCAAAGAAAATAGTCATTTCGACTTAAAAGTAGAATATAAACGAGAAAGGAGTAATTTTGATAAATTGGTAAAACTTGAAGGGTGAAAATGAAAATCTTATGGACTTAATTGCAAGAAAGTTGATAAATTAGGGGGTAAAAGTCTTAATAATGAAACTTCATATAATTGACTAGTCAAATGGTGTCCATTTTGGGAAATAAGAAAATTGATGATCATTTGTGTTAAGTATCTATAGATATAACGTGACTAACCAGTCTCTCCGTTTTGGTTGAGAGAAATCGATTTCAAGGAGAGAAATGGAGGGAGAGTTTGATGATTTTATAGGATTAAGCACAGATTTATAGTGAAATTGATGAATATAGTGTTTGGAGC